GGCTGGAGGCAGTGGAGATGTCATGTCTGAGGGCAATGTGTGGTGTGAATATAATGCTGAGAATTCGTAGTTTGGAAGTTAGGAGGAGGTGCGGGATTACCAAAACTGTTGTCCAGAGGGCTGAGGAGGGGTTGTTGAGGTGGTTCGGACATGTGGAGAGAATGGAGCGAAACAGAATAACTTCAAGAGTGTATCAGTCTGTAGTGGAAGGAAGGCGGGGTAGGGGTCGGCCTAGGAAAGGTTGGAGGGAGGGGGTAAAGGAGGTTTTGTGTGCGAGGGGCTTGGACTTCCAGCAGGCATGCATGAGCGTGTTTGATAGGAGTGAATGGAGACAAATGGTTTTTAATACATGACGTGCTGTTGGAGTGTGAGCAAAGTAACATTTATGAAGGGGTTCAGGGAAACCGGCAGGCCGGACTTGAGTCCTGGAGATGGGAAGTACAGTGCCTGCACTCTGAAGGAGGGGTGTTAATGTTGCAGTTTAAAAACTGTAGTGTAAAGCACCCTTCTGGCAAGACAGTGATGGAGTGAATGATGGTGAAAGTTTTTCTTTTTCGGACCACCCTGCCTTGGTGGGAATCGGCCAGTGTGATAATAAATAAAAAAAAAAAATTTACTCGGATTCATAACCTCTTACAAAGGTTTTTCTTGCTATCATAGGCACATAATATATCAGTGGTATACAGTATCAACACCAGGATGAATTAGACGAACATGTGCAACATGTGGGTATCTTTATTTTGTAAAGATGTCCATTTGTTGCATGTATCAAATTCGTTATCACATTGTCTTGAAAATCCAGTTGAGTAGTTAATTGTTTTGATCTAGTTCTTTTAGGTTATTATTGTCAGTTTGATGTAATATTTCTCTACCTTGAAGTGTGTTTCTCTTATTTCTTTACTGTTCGTTTTCCCCTGTAACTTTTGTCCTTTTTTGTTTAAGAAATATTAATAACTTTTGTTTTTAGTGTGTGTTAATGTGGCAGATGATGGTAGTAAAGTCACTTTTATCAAATCTTTATTAATACAAGGTTTCACCACTAGTGGCTTTATCAAGTATTAATACAAGGTTTCACCGCTAGTGACTTTATAAAGTATTAATACAAGGTTTCACCACTAGTGGCTTTATCAAGTATTAATACAAGGTTTCACCACTAGTGACTTTATCAAGTATTAATACAAGGTTTCACCACTAGTGACTTTATCAAGTATTAATACAAGGTTTCACCACTAGTGACTTTATCAAGTATTAATACAAGGTTTCACCACTAGTGACTTTATCAAGTATTAATACAAGGTTTCACCGTTTGTGGCTTTATCAAGTATTAATACAAGGTTTCACTACTAGTGACTTTATCAAGTATTAATACAAGGTTTCACCACTAGTGACTTTATCAAGTATTAATACAAGGTTTCACCACTAGTGACTTTATCAAGTATTAATACAAGGTTTCACCGCTAGTGACTTTATAAAGTACAGTGGACCCCCGGTTAACGAACTTTTTTCATTCCAGTAGTATGTTCAGGTGCCAGTACTGACCGAATTTTTTCCCATAAGGAATATTGTGAAGTAGATTAGTCCATTTCAGACCCCCAAACATACACGTACAAACGCACTTACATAAATACACTTACATAATTGGTCGCATTTGGAGGTGATCGTTAAGCGGGGGTCCACTGTATTAATACAAGGTTTCACCACTAGTGACTTTATCAAGTATTAATACAAGGTTTCACCACTAGTGACTTTATCAAGTATTAATACAAGGTTTCACCCATAGTGACTTTAGCAAGTATTAATACAAGGTTTCACCACTTGTGGCTTTATCATTATTAATACAAGACTTTTCCCCTGAAAGTGCCTTTATCACTTTTTTACTCATAAATATTAATTACATTTTTGGTAGAACTTCTAAATGTATTTAAATATAATTGATCAGTTACACTTTAGTTTTGATTTAAATTTTATTTGTAATTCCTTTTTTTTTTTTCTATACTACAAAAAAATCATTTGTGGTCACACGTCTTTCATTACCATTCTTTTATTTTTTATAAATTGTGTATTAGAATCTAGTGGTGTAATTGTTTTAATAGTTTCTTTCAGATGTGGAGGATATTTTGTAATGTTAAAAATATATATTTGTTCACATTTCAGTTTCAGTCTCTCCTCTCTTTCCTCTATTTTCTGTTCTCTCTGGATAGCTTCCTTCTAAAAGTGCCTGATTAGCTGGGTTGTGATGGGCCTTTGGGTCACTGGCACAAACAGCTTGGTTGACCAGGCGATCAAGAGATAAGCTTAGCTACAGGCCAGGCTACTGGGATAGAATCTTCAAAGACACACACACAAAAATAATCCTCCTCCTTTTTCTCTTTTTCCCCCCTCCCTGTCTCCCATCTCTTTTTCATCCCCTTAATGGTGTGTATAAATGTGCCTTCAGAACTGGAGTTGTGGCTGCCATTTTTATTCCATCTATCTTGTGTTGGAAAACTTGTTCATCCTTAGGTATTTTTATAACATTCATTCCTATATTAACCAGTAATATTTCATTCATACAAGGTTCTTCATACTCGACTATCTCATTTTTGCCTCTCTCTCCCATCCCTTATTACCTCTCCTTTGTATTTCCCTCTCATTCTTGCCTTCCTCTTGCTGTTGCCTACTTCATAATCTCTATCCTGATTATCACCACAGTCCTTCATTCCTTCCTCTCCCTCATCCACCCTTTTATCCCCTCATGCTTCCTTTGTACTTCTCCCAACCTTCTCTTTCTGGTCACCTTCTTATATCCAGGTGTTGTTATTACCATATTTTATGGCATAGGGTGCACTTTTTTCTCAAGAAGTCTCGGAAAGTCACCCTGTTCCTTATGTGCTCAAGGTCAGGGTCAAAGGTAAGCTTTGGGTTACTGTTAAATGGTGTTATATAAAAGTACATACAGTTCATAATACTAGTAATAAAGTTGTAATGCTTGTGTGCCTTGTATGCCAGAAAACATGGTACATACTTCCTCTATTGTGGTAAAGACACACCTATAGCAAAGGAGACCTTTATTAGTAACAGGTTTCACCTACTGATACAAGGTGTTTATCTCCATGTTATAATTTTTATTTGGTGTCTTAAAGTTTTCCTCCTTTTGTTGCAAATTGTATTATCTTCTTCATATATTTTGCTAACAATTGTTACTAATGGCTTGCCCTTTATTGTTTGTTGTTTTCTCTTCATTTTCCTGGTCATTTCTCCCATGTTTATTCTCACATACACCTTTCAACTTCATGCTGAATGTCCTTTTCTTGTTCTTTTCCTTCCTATTATCCCTCTATTCATGCTCCATTCCTTTTAATTAAGTCCTTTGTTCTTTCCTCCTGTTATTCCTTCTTTTCTTGTTCATCTTTCCTTTTATTCTCTCATTTGTTACTCTTCTTTTGTTGTTATTCCATGTTTCTTTCCTCTTTTTTTTCTCTTGTTGCTCCTCTTTTGTGTATCCCTCTTTGTCCATATTGGCCCTTCCCTATGCCCTCTCGTCCCTTTTCCTCTTTCTAGGCTCGTACCCCCTCCCTATCCTTCCTTCCACTGCTTACCTCCTCAATTAATAATCTCTAACTCTCTTATCATCGTAACCAAACTTTTTTTTTTACCTTTAGAGAGAAGTTGTGACCCAAAGTTCCAAACTTTGGTAAAGTCAATTTTTCGTGTACCTGTTTTTTCCCGTTGTCAGATTCAGCCAAGTTCTTGTCAGCTTGTGGCTTTCAAATGTAAATTTTAACCCCATGAAGAATAATTCCTAATACTGTGATTAGAACACCTGGAACCTAACTCACAAATCTGAAGCATATCATTAATTGTCTGACAATAGGACTCCCTTTTCTCCCTCTACCACGGGAGGACTCCCCTCTCTCCCTCTACCATGAGAGGACTCCCTTCTCTCCCTCTACCACGAGAAGACTACCTTCTCTCCCTTTACCATGAGAGGACTCCCTTCTCTCCCTTTACCATGAGAGGATTCCCTTCTCTCCCTTTACCATGAGAGGATTCCCTTCTCTCCCTCTACCAAGAGAGGATTCCCTTCTCTCCCTCTACCAAGAGAGGATTCCCTTCTCTCCCTCTACCAAGAGAGGATTCCCTTCTCTCCCTCTACCAAGAGAGGATTCCCTTCTCTCCCTCTACCAAGAGAGGATTCCCTTCTCTCCCTCTACCAAGAGAGGATTCCCTTCTCTCCCTCTACCAAGAGAGGATTCCCTTCTCTCCCTCTACCAAGAGAGGATTCCCTTCTCTCCCTCTACCAAGAGAGGATTTCCTTCTCTCCCTCTACCATGAGAAGACTCCCTTCTCTCTACCACGAGAGGACTCCCTTCTCTCCCTCTACCACGAGAGGACTCCCTCCCCACATTGCCAATGAGTAGTCTCCCTTTCCTCATCATAAAAATTATTATATTTGCAGGATAACACCAATTTATACATGGTCCTTGAATATGTTCCCGGTGGTGAGATGTTCTCACATTTACGTCGCTTGGGAAGATTTAGGTAACTACTAAATCCTACTACTGTAGCATTTCTTATGATTGTTTTGTACCCTCCTTGTGTGTGGTACGTTTCTATGTGACTTTCCAACAGCAACTATGATAGCACCTGGCTGTATGGTGCACCAGCTAATGCGGTGTGTACAGTATTGGCAGGTTTGCTTGTACAATTTTTTTTTGTTATACAGTCAAATACTACAGTTAGTCAACTACATTCATTTTGACAATTCTCATGCAGTTGCTTTTAGTAATACAGTATTTGCTTTCATTGTGATGATGAATGTATATAACTGTATTATTTTTCTTGAACCCTAATTAAAATGCCCTAACAAGATGAATATGCCACGGAAGGAAGACCTCGACGCGAGTATGCACTGCTATGGTTGACCCCTATCATGCTCTTTATCTTTAATGTTAAGTATTGTTTCTGTGGTTCTAACATAACACTAATAGTGGTGATTTAAGTCAGTGTATACATTTCAGGATAATTCCAATTTGTACATGGTGTTGGAGTACGTGCCTGGTGGTGAGATGTTCTCCCACTTGAGAAAGATTGGCAGGTTTAGGTAAGAGTGTCTAGACAGATGTTACTGCACCCTAAAGCACACCATCATCCAAAAGCCTCGATGGCTTATTATATTAGAATGCTTCAAGTCACCCTCAGCACTGTAGCAGACTTAAGCACGCCAGGACCCTGCATCAAGTCTTGTGTTATCAGGAAAGATACTTAACTCTCGCTCTAGTTTGTTAGGTGCCACTGGCTTTTATTTTTATTACAGTATATTTTTGCTAATGTGCTAGATGCTTTAGATGGTCAAGTTTTCTGTTAGCTTGTGTGGCTGTGGCAGGTACATGCAGTGACCCACTGATAGGCATTGAGTAGCCATTTGTGAAGAGGTTACTTTGCTTAGTATATATTTTATGTGGTTTATTTTTTGTATTGCTGTGGCTATTATAGATTAATGTGTTGACTTTGATACTAAGAGATGATTTTTTTTTAGATCATTTATCTCGGTAAAAGTTATGTATTGCAGTGGAGAGACTAGAGCCATCATCAGGTACCATTGTAAATAGTAATTGTAAAGCCAAACTTTTCTCTAAAATAATGACTTTTAAAGCCTTGACTGATGTGAATATTAAAAGGGAAGTTTATAGTTAAATCCTTGCATGAGATCAGACTAAATAGTAATCTTGCTACATTGTGTTGCTTAATCCTGTGGTAAGAAATGCAACCCACAGTACAATAAACAATAGCTTTTATTAAAATAAATAAATATCTGTAGCTTCTTTCATTTGTAGTCTTCCCGTTTCATTACTAAGCTAATGTTAGTCTTTAGCATTGTGTATACACCTTTTGTTTCTTTTAAATGATATTTTAAGGATAAGAAATAATGCATCCTAGAGTTATTCATGTTTTGCTGTGCATATCTTAAGATGAACTTTAAGCCAGACTAAACAATGACTACTGGTGTGCTCTAGTCATAATATTACTCTACATGCCATGATGAGTTAAACATATTTGTATGGGTGCTTCATATATATTTCTTGTATAGAGAAGCACTAACAATGGTTATCTACATCTCCATAAGTGAACTTTGCCTGACCCATAGAAGTAGTCTTCTGCATGCCCTGTGTGATGATATTGTAAGCCTTTCCTTGCTCTTTTGAAAGCATGTCTGGTCATCTCTGGTTGATCTTAGTTATACTTTTTTAGTTTGTTTATCCTACCTTGTATTTTACTAGTTTCTTGAGATCTCCATATACTGTGCAAGTTTGCTGATGCTAAGTCATTTTTGTGTTAGTGATGCAATATAATTTTATGCCATATTTCATCACCATTATTTTGAGCAATATTCATTCTCTGTTATTTTATATGAAATTTATTCTACACATTTCTAGTGGGAAAACTTGGAAATGTTATTGTTGCTAATGTTCACACTGTTTTGAAGATATATGCACTGTTATAAACCCCCTTTTGTATAAATTACTAAATTTATACAGAAAAACTTTAATTTTTTAGGTCACCCTACCTTGGGGAGACATGGCTGGTGTTGAAAAAATGCACTGCTAAAATACCAGTACAGTAGTTAATGTTACTTGGTGCAAAAAGAATTTTTATTACTGTCTTTTTGATCATACAATAGAATAACCGAGTGCTCTTTGAAATAGTCACATAATCACTTTTATTTCACCAGTATTCACCCATATGACTCTCAGCCATAGTAAAATACTGATGTATTGATGCTGCTTAGGAGGATGGGCTCCTCATGTAGTTGACAAATTATATTGAGTGTACTGCTGAATTAAGAGGCTTACAATAGGAAGATTTTGTAGACGATTCTTCTAATATGTATATAAAAGCAACACCATCTATGACCATACTGTCTCTTCCCTGAGCCACACAAACTTTAATGGCACATAAGTATATCCTTGTACCCCTCAGGGTCAGTGGTTCACGTTAGATTGAAACATCGCCACAAGCTTTTTTCTCCTATGTGCGGGTTAATTGTGTATTGTTCCACTCATGGTATTGTCTTTTTGTTCTCTAGCTAAATTGTAATCCTTGTAGCTGAGTGGTACAGTGCTGGACCTGTTAACCCTTTCAGGGTCCAAGGCCAAAATCTGAAGTGGTGCCCCAGTGTCCAAGAATTTTCAAAAAAGAAAAATTATTTTTTCTTATGAAATGGTAGAGAATCTTTTTGTGAATGTAATAAAACAAAAAGTACGAAATTTGATGGAAAATTGACGAAATTATGCTCTCGTGAATTTTGATGTGTCAGCGATATTTACGAATCGGCGATTTTGCCGACTTTGACTCCCATTTTAGGCCAATTACATTGTTCCAGTCGACCAAATTCTTAGCTATTTTACTAGCATTACTTCTATTCTATCGATTGAGCACAAGAAATCGCCAAGTCAACTGTTTCAAATACAAAATAAGGTGACCGGAAATTGGTAATTTGGCCAATTTAACACAAAGTTCAAAATATTTCAATTTCAAAATGGGGTCCAGAATAAACAATGTAGGTATTCCTGGCACTAAACTAACATTTCCTCTGTTCATTAATTATGTTTTGAGGCTTTACAAATAAATTCCATTTTGATTTTTTATTCACATAATGAATTTTTATTCACACAAAAAAAATAGAAGATTTACTGTTATGCAATATTGTAATAATTGTATAAATATCATCACCACATTTGTGAATGCATATTAGACCCACCAGCTGGCATGTATTAGACGTGTGAGGTCGTTTGTTTACTCTTGAACATCGGCAAAAATTTAACATTTCCGCCACTTTAAGCTCAGTTTCAAGCCATTTCCAGTGCTAAAACCAATCAAAATTATCTCTATTTCTGTAATATGTCTTCCATTCTATCAAATGAGACCAAGAAATCACAAATACAACTATAAAAAACACGAAAAAACACTGCAAAGTCGCTGTTTTAATTGAAAATCACGGTCTCAGTTTTTTTCTCTCATTATACACAGTGTGCTGCAGGATTTGTTTTATGTGGTGCACACATACCACATAGATGTATTCTCTCATATCTAGGCCCAAATTTACCACTCACAGTTTATCAGAGTGAGCTGAGCTCATGACGTAGATCTACGGTTTGGACCCTGAAGGTAAAGCCGTAGATCTACGGGACGGACCCTGAAAGGGTTAAATGTTAGAACCATGGATCGAGTCTCCACGTAAATGAATATAATTTTATTTTTACCTATTTGAAGCTACACGAGCAGAGCAATGCTTGCAGTGTCCCATCTTCAATAATCTGTTCATCATATAATTTTTTAATGTAAAATGGATACAGCACTTGCTGCTGCCTCTCTCATTCATTCCATTGATTTATCACTGTCAAGAAAAAGTGGCTAAGGTTACTTATTGCTACTCTGCAGAACTCTGTTATTAGTTTACATTTTACAATACTGGACAGGAGGATACTGCATATACAGCACCTTTTTGGTGTTTCACATTTTCACTGGCTTTAAATTGAGCCATTGTTCATTATGTTCCACCTGGTGGCGATTGTCATTGGCGGGTGGAATAATGGCTCAGTTGAAAGATGACAAAAATGTGAAACACCAAAAATAGGTGCTGTATATACAGGGCCCTCCTGTACATACAGTGTATATAAGGTAAGGTAGGAGGCTAAGCACAGGTTTTTGAAGTGCTCCACTCTTGTCAACACAGAAATTTTCTTTCACACCATTGCCTTCTCTGCTCTCCAGAAATTCTTGTATCTGTTTGGAAACCTATGAGTTGTATGCTGTTCCAGTTTGTATGTCTGGTGGAGTTTGAAAGTTGTGCCTAACTTAAAATAAGCCAACTTAACTTCTGCCATACAATTTATTATACAGTGGAATCTCGGCACGTGAACTCGATTGGTTCCAGAAGGCTGTTTGAGTGCCAGTCTGTTTGAGTACAGAACAAATTTTTCCCAGCCAATTTTCTTTTTGGTTGGCTGTTATCACTAGCCCTTTTAGGCCCTTGGTGGTTAACGCTCTCGCTTCACACGGTGAGGGCCTGGGTTCGATTCCCAGCCAGAGTAGAAACATTGGACGTGTTTCTTTCCACCTGTTGTCTATGTTCCCCATCAGTAAAATGGGTACCTGGGTGTTGGTCGACTGGTGTGGGTCGCGTCCTGGGACACTGACCTAAGGAGGCCTGGTCACAGACCGGGCCGCGGGGGCGTTGACCCCCGGAACTCTCTCCAGATAAACTCCAGATAAACATACGTGAAGAAACTCTAAATACAGCCTCTCCTCACTTAGCGACATACTTGTTTACCAATGACTCAGACTTACAACAGGCTCTCTGATCAGTGTGCATACCTAAATAATGTATATTAGAGATTATTTCCTCTATTCTGTTTATTAGAATATACAGTACGTGTTAGATAGCGTGTTAGGAGTGAATGGAGACAAATGGTATTTGGAAGTGTGAGCAGGGTAATATTTAGTGAAGGGATTCAGGGAAACCGGTTATTTTATATAACCGGACTTGAGTCCTGGAAATGGGAAGTACAATGCCTGCACTCTAAAGGAGGGGTTTGAGATATTGGCAGTTTGGAGAGATATATTGTGTATTTTTATACATACATACTTCTAAACTGTTGTATTCTGGGCACCTCTGCAAAAACAGTGACTATGTGTGAGTGAGGTGAAAGTGTTGAATGATGATGAAAGCATTTTCTTTTTGGGGATTTTCTTTCTTTTTGGGTCACCCTGCCTCGGTGGGAGATGGCCGACTTGTTGGAAAAAAAAAAAACAGTACACTACTGTATAAACATTAAAAATACATCAGAAATGTTATAAATGGTATAAAGGTGATACTAAAACAATATCTATGAGTCCTGGAAATGGGAAGTACAATGCCTGCACTTTAAAGGAGGGGTTTGGGATATTGGCAGTTTGGAGGGATATGTTGTGTATCTTTATACGTATATGCTTCTAAACTGTTGTATTCTGAGCACCTCTGCAAAAACAGTGATTATGTGTGAGTGTGGTGAAAGTGTTGAATGATGATGAAAGCATTTTCTTTTTGGGGATTTTCTTTCT